CTCTCTCTCTCTCTCTCTCTCTCTCTCTCTCGGGAGAGCGGGAGGGAGAGTAGTAGGAGGAGGATGAAGGGAGGGGTGAGAACCATCTTCATCCAACTGCATCCCCTTAGCTATGACGTTCGTCAGACTGCAGCCTGTTCCAGCAGACACGTTGACCCCTCCGTACTCCAGAGCCATGCTTCCCGTGCTCGTTTCTTCTCCTCCTCCTCCTCCTCCTTCCTCCCCACCTTGGCTTCTCTCTCTCCTCCCATGTCGTCTTCCTCCTCCTTCACTACTTTCCCCATCGCTTGGCATTCAAAACTTCCCCCGTCCTCCTCCTCCCCCACCTCCTCCACCTCCTCCTTCCACTCCTCCTCATCCTCCATTGCCGGTGATGTTACCTAACCCGTCATTTGCAATATCCCTCGCATTGAGGTCTAGTGCCTCTAGGCCTATAGCCTTGGCCAATGCAGTTCCTCAATGGGTATCTGGTAGGGGCATACTGGAAATTCCGCACCGGTACCAGTAGGGGCATATTGAACGTATTTCAGGCCCAAATGATGCCAGTTTTTTTTTGGAAACTTGAATCCTTGTCAGAGGGGCAAATCAGGGTAAGTCGCCCGTCCGAGGGGCAAACCGCAAATAAACAGAAATATCGGGGGCATTTTGAAACTTTTCCCTACTTTGATGATATGCTTAAAAACTAATCTGATGGGTAGAGACGGACTGAGACGGCAAACAACTTCCACACCACACCATGTGGACAGACTGCAACAAATGACTTTGCGAATTAGACTAATTTAACAATCTGACAATGGCAACCTTGGCTTACTTTTTTTTTTTTTTTTTTTTTTTTTTTTTTAACAATGCTCCAATCTATTTGTGGGGAGCAGCACGTGCTGGGAACCGGGACCAACCTTGGCTTACTAAGAGAGGCAATGGGGAAAAAAGCCCAGAGAACGACTTCCAGATCCAGTTCTTGCCAACAAACTTCGTGTCCATACGAGGGGATCGACCGCTAGCTGCGCCCCCCATGTGGCAGGACCCCACTTGCCACCCCAAGCCATATCCTTCCTGTCTTCCATACCACCCCAACCCCAACCCTTGCTGCCATGGATTGCAGCACCTGGATAACCTTGCCCTCCCCCTTATACCTGGATTTCAGTGGAGAAGGTCCTAGTGTTAAGGCCAGACCTCCCTGGTGCTATACTTGCGCGACAAAGGCATGAACATTGGCCAAATTTCCAACCATGTTCATGCTTACCAACTTTTTCACAGATCTCTATGCTCACAGAACTTTGTTGCAGAATCGTTGAGAATTKTTTTTTTTTTTTTTTGTCTTTTTCTATTATATTCTTTTCTTTTCTTTTTGCTTCTTTTTTTCAAGAACTAGTTGGTTTTACAACTTTACTCATCAAGTTCCATCATCTGGATTCGAACACGGGTCCGTATTTTCAACAGTTCATGGGTGTGGTCCCCACTGAGCTAGGCTCTTGGGTCCTTGAGAATTGTTGAATAGGGTTAGTGCCAGCGTTGATTGCCCCGCCAGGGCGGTGGATTGTCTGAGCAGGTGGGAATTGACTTGGTTTTGGTTTTACTGAGCAGGTGAGATAGGCTCCGTTTCCGGGTGCCTCTTCAGCCGTGCTACTGGGTGCCTGATGTCTGTGTTTCCTAGCACCTCTGTTATCCTACCTTGTAGCTCTTACGCAACCCCCCCCCCCCCCCCCTCCCCTCCCCTCCCCCCCTCCTCTTCTTATCGCTCGCCCTTGCCCATTCCTGTTCTAAAAAACAAGCCCTTCTTGCTCTAAAACCCAATCCCCCCGGCGGCCCCCCAAACAACCCGTGTCTCTGCATTCTTGGGTGATCATCCTCTGCTTTCCTTCAGCTTGTCTCATCCCCTCTTTGTCTTCCTCCCTGTTGGGGCGTCCTCTCTGTCATGCTCTCACAGAGCTCCCAGCTTAGCGTTGTTTTTTTTTTTTTTTTTTTTTTTTTTAACAATCAGTTATCGTTCATATGCCGGAAAACGGGTCCGGCGTTCCTCACATATAAGCCGCAGCCACACAAGGCTGGGACAAGCACTCCCGACCGATCCCATCCCCGACTGCGGCCAACAATTCACTCAAAGTTTACACAAACCCTAACCACTACAAACCCCACAATTCAAGAAAACAATTTCCAGTGAAATCCCAAAACGATTTCCCATCACCAATTTTAAACCAAAGATATCCATCTATACCCTAATTAATCCTAGGAGAACAGAAGGAAAAATTCCAAACAACCTCTACTACTATCCAACGAACAAAATATAAGAACTTTCCCTAATTAATCCAAGGAGAACAGAAGGAGAAATTCCAAACAACCTCTACTACAATCCAACGAATGAGAGGCACTCGACAAAAGTCTAATGACCATCTCCATTCAGTAGACAATATTTACCAAACACTCCTGATTCACCAATCATTCCAGCACACCTGTGATTATTCCCCTCGACGACTCTATTCTAATTTTCAGCATTTTCTTCCCCCTGACCAGACCCAGTCGCTAACCACCATTCCCACTAAAGTTAGGCCAATCACAAGAGGCTCAATCACGATTCGTCAGCTAAAACCATCCTAATTTTCGTTTTCTCCTCCGCCTAGTCAAGCCCAATTAAACTATCCCCAATCTTACCGACAATCAAACCAACACTAATTTCCAACGCAAACAAACACAGAATTAACACCTACACACTTAATTAACTAAATAGGTTTTGTTTTGCCTTCTTTTGGAGATTTCCAAAGTTCAACGTCAGCATTCGAAACAAAAACTCAATTGGAATTGATCGCTGGAGTAAAGGATTCGAATCTTTGCAGATTCTGCTTTTTCCCCTCTTTAGAAAAGAATGTTCTTGGAAAGATCTGTCTCTGAGTTGGTAATTTCTGGACAAGACAGTCTATAGCTTAGACGGAAGACCTTTTGGTCCATGGCTCAGGGGGCGGGACTCTATCTGAGAGATCAGTTTAGAGACCAGATGGCCCCTATTGGAGTTTGATTGAAATTCTATTGTTGCATTGCCTTGGGCACTGGGCCGGTTGATAAAGAAAAACAATCTTGGGACAGGATTCAGTTGAGAGGTTCCCAGTGTGAGAATGTTCTGCCGGCATCCTCACACACGTACTTTCTGGACCATACCTGCCCTCCTTAGGGCATACTCACACATGGGTAGCAAACAGCTAAATTTGCCACGCCAAAAAGCCCCC